TACTACCTACATTACGCGTATGTAAACCCACACAATACTGTACAATTTAGTCAAAGTATGTTGTGTCTCTGACCTGTCTCAAACAGGCCTCATAATCTCCGTCTGTCTACGTTACGCTCTGATGTGGATGCACAATGGCGACGTAGGACTGGTCACTTCTCTGGCCACCTCCTCCACCTTTGGCCCTTTCGTGATCAACCAACTGTTACCCCTGTATGTGAACCCGAACAACTTGGTACCGGACAATAGGACAGACGTTACCGCCTTCTTCCATCAGTCAGAGGTGTTAGACAGGTAAAATGCATAGCCTTATTTCTTGTTTTGTTGTTATTACTCTAGATATCTAATGTGTACAAGTTAAAAGCCTAAAATAGTCTCTTTTTTTAGAACCAGCGTACCTGTTTCTATGACTAGGCTCTTCCCGTTTTAAGCAGGCAGCGTGAGTTTGACTCCCTTGAGTGGAAGATAAATCATATAGCAGTTTTTTATCATTTTATTCAGATGTTGATTAGCGCTCTTATTAAATTTTAAAATAGATGTTTCACTCCCCCATCAAAATAATGAAAATCATTCAGGAGAAATCTTTCGATCCTGCTTGACAGGGCCAATCCCAGCTTATAAGAATATAACATCACAGCAAAAATACTCAGATATTTGATAAAATTTTTCCAACATGAGAATTGAACCCAGGTCTTCTGCATCATACAGCGGAACGACAGCCCTCTACAGCACCAACAACAGACTATATTGCGGTCAAAAATTAGTAGCGCAACTTATTTTCAGATATCTCTTTAACAGGTGAATCAATGTCACCCATACTTTCCACAGCAGTTTGTACCATTTTGTCTTAACTAAATCATATTTTTCCACAATTGGCGCTCGATAAGAAAACTTTTCTTCATAAATTTATATAAAATACTTCAAATCTCGTCACACGTAAAATGGGATTGTTCACACCACTTCCCATTTCTCCCACATATTATTATTTTGATTACACGTTTATGGTCTACGTCACAGCTCACCAGTGACAATTTTTTAATGGCAAAACTTGTTACAAGAAATTAATTTTATAGTGACGGACTTTCTATGAAAAGCAAAATTGTCCTCGCTGGGTGTGATATTAGTATACTAGCTGGGCCCCCTTTCGATGAAATGGATGATCGGTACATTAACATCAATCAACTGAAAGTCATTGGCCAGCTACCTCGATCTTTGCGAGCGCGAGGGGTTCCAACTGCAGGACGTCGTTTTCTTTTCGGCACGGTCAGGCGCTACCTAGATTAAGACCTGTTGACGTTGTTCCCAGTAGCAAGAAAGAGAATTTGACAAAGGAATCCAGAAAAAGCGATGATGGGCATCAAACGAAAGAATCGCAGTTGAATTTAGCACCAAGTAAAAAAAGAAAACATGAGGCTAGATCTATACAGGTAGCGCACTTTAAATAGTGCTCAGTATTGCGCGACAATGCGCGATAGTATCGAACGGAAGTACGACTTGAAATTAAGCAAACCTGGCGGATTTTCTAACATTACAGAGACAAAAGCGTCGGCCTACAAAAGCGATCGGCGAAATAAAGAAATTTAGCCTTTTGCAGCAAAACTGTCTCGCAAAACTGAAAAGACGAAGGGCGTCATGATCTGGAGAATATTTTAAAGAATCCTTTGTCGAAAACCGCTTGCCGATCGATGCAGCCATTAAAAAGCCTTTTGAATAGCAAAATTTGGCCACCACAAATAGACAATAGATAAAGGAAAAGAATACAGCTAGCAGGTGTTAAGATAAAATGTTGATCTGTTTAAAGACAAATTGATACAAGCTGGAGAACCGATGTTTGATAGTTGAGGAGATATATGTATTAAAATTTGACAATAAGTTGCGCCTCGATTTTTTGACCACACTATAAGCTCTTTCCTTTGCCTGCAGAAAACTGGAGTTTGCTTCCTTTGAAGAAAAGATAATAATACTTTATCGAATGGAAGTTGTAAGGGGACTGTACAGCGCTCTGGGACTGTGCAGTTCCCTACCGTTCCGCACTGGAAGGGGGGGACGGGGCTGCAAAGAAACAACCTTTGACCTCTGGGGTTTTTGTCCTCACATTCCAGGTTATAGCCAGATTTAAAATGTTTCAAATCCTTGCTGCTTTCATTTTTGACAGTTTGAGATAAATCCTGAATGTGCATCCTCTTAAAACATCACACCCTAAGCCCAAACGTATTACTTTTTTTCTCACTTAAATCTTAAACTGATTGCCTTCGATCATGAAAGCAGAATTGCCAACCAGTGCGAATTTCCGTCTTTCACCGCTACAGTGATTCTGGGAGTAGATATGGAAATATGAGAAAATGTGTTTGAACACGGAAAAAACGGAAAAAAGGGTCTAATAATATTTTATGACTTTGAATGAATAGCATCTCATCACAAACTGCCCGTAACACAGTCAAATCTAAACATAAAGTTATCGCGTAGGAGTGTAAATCTATGTATCTAGATGACTCTTTGTCTCTCTCTGTCTCTGTATGTATGTATGTATGTATGTATATATCACTCTCTCTCTCTCTCTTTCTTTCACTCTCTCATTATTTTCATTATCATTATTAATTTGCTTTTATTTTATTAGCAGCGGTTCCTTTCAAAGCTCCGACACATTTTAAATCAAAACTTTTAAAATTTGATTTTGTTTCGAGTTGAAATATGAAAAACATAGCTTTGTTTAGGGGTAAAAACATGAGAAAATTAGTAAAGGTTGCTGTCGTGGTTGACAAATCTATGATAAACCTATGTAGGTGGTCTTGTTATTGTTGCTACCGTTCTGAAAATTATAATATGAGATGGCTAGCTCTTTTAACCGGTCAGTAATATTAGTCTACCCAGTACAAGGTGTTTTAAACTGAACACTGAAGATTGGAAAATTAATAATTTTGACCGAAGTACAACATGCGTACCATTATGAGTAAATGTATTCAAGGCTACTACCTAAAATACAATCCTGGATTCTTCAAATTAAAAAGTATTCTTTAAATCTTTGAAAACAGAAATAATGTTTTTATAGACTAAAATAAAAAAAAATGTAGACATCTCGAAATCAGCTTTTTCCTGTTCTGAGCTTTTTGTAATAAAACATAGGTAACAGTCCCCCGTGCCGAATGCTAGGGACTGTACAGTCATTTAACAACTTTCTTATGGAATTCAAGTATCTTGGTCGTTCTCGCTGGGATGCTGTAGCTACTCTGTTCCGGTTGGCTCTGACAGGTAGGCTCAAGATAACTAACCTTCCACACGATCTAGTTTGTGAAAGTGTGTATTGTGTATTGGGGGGGGGGGGGTAGGGGGTGCAGACTGTTACTTATCTTAAGCAGTTACGAGTGTGTAGACCGAACAGTGCAGTCAAGTGAGACTGGAAGGTCTTGAGGCGGTTCATTCTATTTTGAAATTAATGCAATGTATTATAGAACTGAATTTCGATTTTAATTTTGAGTGGAAATAAACTTGTAGAACGCAATGACAAAATAGAAAACTACTTTCTTAATTAAACTTGTCAGTTTGCAAAGTGTGTCTGACTAACTACTTGTTTTACAACAATATAAAACTGTTCATCTGTTCATGTTCGTTCACATTTAATTTTCGTTTGTCCGCGAGTCAGTCGATGTATACATAATATACTCGTTGGATCGATCCATTTATCATTATTGTTTTTATCCATGTGCCGTCTGTTTCGTGTGGTTATTTTTTGTTGTTGTTGCAATCTTCACTTCCCTTAGCCTGGTAATCGACTCCTGCTGGTATAGATGTGATAGTCTGCTCACGTCTCTTTGACAATCAATCTCCGGTACCCAGTTTATCCTTACTTGTAACATTACTTTATCTTTTCACTTTTGTTTACTTGCATTTTTTGTCTTAGTCTATATTTGAGGACTGACTATGGCCGCCATTACGGCATTCGCTGAATAATCTAAATGAGCCTTACCCAACCAGTCCCTCTGCTGATCAGTCCCTGTCTACATAACCTTTATTTTGTTATTAATATCATCGTATTCGCCGGGTTTTTTTCTTCCAGAGTCCCGCCTCTCTTCCTGTTACTCAGTTGTATATTCTTCATGTGTCACATGATCGGAACACTTCTGCTTAGAGATCGCGACTCAACAAACATGAAGGTGGACAATGAAAAGGACGATCAAAGTCACCAGAGTCTGCTTCTCAGCGATAGTGATCACAGCCTACAATCTGAAAGAGACAATGAAGTCAACAACGACCACGCTGATGACAAAAACTCACGGATGACTTCTTTTGCTGTCTTGAATCACAAAAAACCTATATATAGTGAAGAGGGCATAGATAGCTTCCACAATATACTGCCAACCACGCGAGTGAACAATACTGAACAAAATGACGCTTGTGCAGGGAACACGACTTGTCTTCATGACCGATTTCAACAGAAGTACACAAAGCATAAACAAAGTCTTCACAAAGGTTACGACGATTGTTCAGAGAGTGATCCTGATGTTCAATCGTTGGAACCCCTGCCAGAAATACGAAGTCTTCTTTATATTCGGCCGAGAGACGGCAGCACAGCGAACTGTCCATCCAGCAGCCACATGAGAGACCAAAAGGTCACGTTCAAGGACAAAAGCTTCACAAGTTATGCCCCACAACAAACCTTTATGAGTGTGCATTCGTTGGATTGTACAAACGTAGAACTACAGTTAGGAACTGATAAGACAGTGGTGGACAACTATTCTGTCCTTTGTTGTGAAGGGAAAGAAAATTGTCAAGCAAATGGTATAGATAGAAATGGCGCCTTCAATAAAGAAAACACACAAGAGAATTGTTCAGAAGGCAATCAGTTCTCAAAAAGATTTCAGCAAACGGTTGATGTGTGTGATAGTGTACAAAACAATAAAGTTGGTTCTGAACGTGATCAAAATAGTGATTTCCAAAATGGGTTGCTAAACAAAGTCATTTATGAACACGTGAAGAATAGTTTTAAAGAAGACACAGAAAGCATGACAATGTGTAATTCAAATATCCAAATCAACGGAGAAACGATATTTGAAAGATCGAATCTGGATAGCGGTTTCGACACAGGGAATGACGCTGACATCGACTCTGAGACTGATATTTATCAAGCTAGAACATGTAAACAGATCTTGAACCCAGGGGCTGACCTTGTATTCAGTGAAAATATCTCAAACAATGAATCCGAACTTTGGACTTCTAAACTGAAACAACAGTTGTCTACTTTACAGACAGTTTTTCATTTAAAACCGAAAGGAAGTGAATGTACGGAAACAGATGATGAGAGTATAACTTCAGCCCTCCGCAGTGGTCCATTTTATGTCCTGTGGATTACCAACGGTTGTACAGCGTACGGTGTGCATATTTTGAGCATGTTCTACAAAAGCTTCGGCCAGACGAGAATCAATGACGACCACTTTTTGGCAGCGATCGGAACCCTAGACTCCGCTCTCGTTTTTGTGACACGCCTGTTATGCGGCCTGCTGGCGGACAAGATGGGCGTGAAATCCTCCCTGATCATCCTGTGCGGCGCTCAGAGCCTGGCGTTTGCCTGTTGGTATCTGACGGCCAGCGCGGGAAGATGGCCGTACCTCGTCTGTACATCTGTTCTCGCTGTGGCCGGACACGGCATCTTCACCGTTACTCCAGTGGCTGTCTTAAAACACTTCGGCAGCGTTCGCCTGACCACTCTGATGTCCTTGACCTTCACCTCGACCGTCGTGGCAGGTGTCCTTGTGTCCGCGGCGAGAGAGCTGCTGCTGGCAAACAGCGGCTGGCTCGTGTTTCTCACAAGTGACGCTCTGCTGATGCTGCTGCCGCTACTGCTTGTGGCGTGCTATCTGCCCTGATGGTTGTTGTTGTTGTTGTTGCCGTTGTTCAAGCTGTTGTTGTTGGTGATGATTTTGATGCTGTTGTTGATTTTTTGAAAATCATTGTGGATAATCTTAATATTATCAAAGTCATTGTGAATAACGTTTTGGTTATTGCTGTTGTTTTTGCTGTTGTTGGTTCTTTTGTTGTGGTGGTTGCTACTCTTATTGTCACTGCTGTTGCTGCTGCCTTTGTTGATGTTGCTGTTATTGCTTCTATTTTTTTGTTCTTTCTTGTTAGTATCAACAGTGCCATTGTCATTGTTGTTGTTGTAACTTCTGCTGTCGTTGTTGATACTGTAACCGCCCAGTCAGACACCGAATAGAACGTTTGGAAGGCTAATTATCACTCTGGATCTTCAAAAGAGGACTAATCAAAATTATTACCCCTATCCAGATTAGATTTCAAACGATCGAGTAACGGATCAACTTTGTAACCAACTACGATGCAAAGCCGATGTCCTAATGTAAATATCAAATGGATAAAGAAAAGGAGATGGTAGGCAAAACAGACCGAAGTGAGATAAAGACGAAAAGCTTTATATCGAAACATACGAGTAAGAGAAAAAAGGGTTTGTTCACTCACAACAAACGATTGTTTGATTTAACGATTATTTGGTTATTGGACTGATTGGTTGATTAGGTTGAGGGATCGATTTGTCAGTAAATTGGTTGGTTAGTTGGGTGGGTTCGATGGTTGGTTGGTTTGTTGTTGTTTTTTTTTGGTTGGTTGACTGTTTATTAATGTATTACACCCCTATCGAAACAGTTTGGATATTCAAGGGTGGGTCACTTAGACATCACTTTTCAGGAACAGCGAGACAAAAAGACGTGGGTGTTTGAGAACAACTAATAAAATTCCCCCATCATGAAGACGGCCCTAGATGCAGTGGGTCCAATAACGAACATACCCGTTACAAATAGGTGCCATAACTTCTCACTGCTTCATTCTTATATCATGTATACTATTATAACAATGATATATAGTTTGCGTGTTTTAACTTGCAAAGAATATCGCAATGTGTAACAACGATATGTACATATTTATAGAGTACGTGAGCGTATCCGAATTGGATTGTGCGCTTTTGTTGGTGTATCTGGACGGGAGTGTGTGGGTGTGAAAGTGATGTCAAGTAAAGTCAATGCAAAATTAAACTTACAGAATATTATAATATTGCTTTTTGTTGTTGAAGCCGTCGTTGCTTATGGGATTGTAGTTGTCACAGCCAGATATGAATAATATAATATATGCATATATGTATACATCAATGTGAATCGTTATATTTATTTAGCTGTAAACAAGATACTGAAGGTACGATACGTTGTATTGCATAATATTTGTTATGATAATATTGATATTATTTAATAATTATTGTGGCCCCCTCAGTTTAGTGGTAAGGCTACCGGACACCTTAATCGTGAGGTTGCTAGTTCGGGGTTCAAGTCTAAGGCCGCAAGTTGTGTCTGTGGGATAGGCACTTCATATGAATTTTCTTCACTTAACCCAGGAGGAAATGGATACTCTGTCATAAACAGTAACACATTATGTCAGCATAATAGTGTTTAAGCGCCTAGAAAATGGCAGCTTGCACTATGCTCCTCAAGAAGTTGAGTCTATTCCAGAATTCTATCAGGTCTTGTAAGTAATAATGCAGATGTTAAGGCGCGTTGAGTTTGCTGTTGAGCGGTAATGTGCGCTATACGCATTTTAATGCTAATAATATTAATAATA